AGTTTGGTAATTAGACGTCATAGAATTATCTACTAGGTAAGGAAAAGAACCTAGTATAACTAAGCAATTCAATACTACATGTACATGAGTGTTCATGGCAGGAATAGTCAATTGGTAGAAAGAATCCAAATGTCCTCTCAATGAATGAATGAATGAATAAACAAGTTAGTAAATATATACAGTGGAATATTATTTAACCAAAAGCAGAAATGACGTGCACTATAACATAGACAAATGTTAAAAACATCCTAAGTAAAAGCAGTCACACACAAAACTTTATATATTGTGTGAGGCACATACAGCAGGTTAATCCAAAGAGACAAAAGGTGGAGCAGTACTTGTCAGGATATGGTGGAAGGACAAATGGGGAAAGCTTTTAGAACTCAGAGGTGGTGGTTGCATAACATTGTAAATATACTTTAATTGGCTTATTTGATTTTAAATAACTTATTTAGAATATATGAATTTTACCACAATAAAAATTTGAGTCCCCAGGGAGGAGTTCTGATTAGCAAGTGCTATTGAAAGGTGATTGGATTGTGGGATCCAAAACTTCAATGAGTCATTCATTCATTGATGAATTCCTTCTGAATTGGCTATAAGGAGGCGGGGCCTGGCTGAAGGAAGTAGGGAATAGGAAATGTGTTTTTGAAGGCTGTACTGTTTCCTGCTCCTTCCGCACTCTCTTCTCAGCCACTATGAAAGGAGCAGCTCTACTCTTCATCATGCTACCCCCACGATGTCAGGAACAATGGAGCCACAGATCATGGAAACTTCTGAAACCATTAGCCATTTCCTTTTTTAAGCTGATTTGCTCAGCAATTTTGTTCAAACAGGAAAGATTAACTTACAGAGAAGAGAATTACCTACACACAGGCAACCATTTAGAGCCAACCAAGCCAATGCCCAGGGCTCAGCTCAGGGGAAAAATTAAGAAAGCTTCTTAATTAAAAAGAAGTTTGATCTCTGTTTACTTATTTATTTTTGTGACATCGTGAGGCTTGAACTCAAGGGCTTGGGTTCTCTCCATGAGATTTTTTTGCTCAAGGATGGATTCTATCACTTGAGCCACAGCTCCACTTCTGACTTTTTGATGACTAATTGGATCCTCAGATCTCAGCCTTCTGAGTGTTATTACACCTGTAATAAGAACCATTCTTGTTACATGCAAATTAGAAAACCTTAAAAATATTAAGTAAAGAAAGCCAGGGTATCAGTGGCTTATGCCTTTAATCCTAGCTATTCAGGAGGCTAAGATCTGAGGATCATAATTTGAAGCCAACCCAAGCAGAAAAGTCTGTGAGACTCTTACCTCCAACTAACCAGCAAAAGCAAAACAAAACAACAACAGCAAAAACAGAAGTAGAGGTATGGCTCATGGGGTAAAGTACCAGCCTTAAGCAGAAAAGGCTAAGGAGTAGCACCTAGGTCCTGAGTTCAAACCCCAGTGCCAGCACAAAGAGAGAGGGGGGGGGGAGAAAGAAGGAAGAAAGGAAAGAAAGGAAAAAGGAAGGAATGAAAGAGAAGGAAAGAAAAAGAGAGAAGGCAATAAAGAAAAAGAAGGAAAGAGATTGATATAGTTTTCATGACTCACAGATGATCATAAGTAATATGATAATTATATATATCCTACTAGACTTTTTCCCTGTGCATTTCTACTTATAGATACACATATATGGATAGAAATGTATTTTATGTATTTTATTCTGACTCCTGCTTTTTTTCACAATGTATTTCAGTTTTTGTCATCAAATGCAGATTCATACCTTCATTTGAATATCTGTGAGAGATGAATTCTGAACAGAAGACTCTAAAAGTTGCTTTTGATGAAATGGCATTGCATGAGCCCCTAAAGAATCAGCAGGCAGAGAGGGTGACCAACGCCTTCTCCTGACTATAGTCCAACCTATGACAGATCCTGGAACGGGGCTGTGGAAGACAAGGTAATGTTACAAGGTCATACGTGTGGGGAAAGTCGAACCTGGACTCCTAACTCCCAACCCAGGGCCTTGGCCTGCAAAATCCAGCCTGGATTCTTCCCACTGGCATTCCAAGCCCTGTATCACCAGTTTCTTACCCACTGTTATGACCTGAGTTACGGGTGACAGACCATCAGGGCCCATCCTCAATTCACAGATGGGGAAATCAGGTTTCTGGAGGAGGGAAAGGGCTGCCTATGGTCATGGAGCTAGATTACAGCAATGGCTGGTGTGGGCCGAGCCTATTTAGATAAAACAGTTGCTGGTATGTACTTAACTCATGTCAGGCAGTGAGCTGGGGCCTGCCCTGCATTCCACCAGGAGACCTTCCTGTCTGCTCTTCTTCTTCCCTTCCCTTTCTTGTCTCCCCTCCCAAGGCTGTGACTGCTTGGCCCCTGAGTCACCAGCAGCCTGCTGCATGAGTCAGCAGCATTCCTGGTGGCTGGGTAGAACCATGGCTCGGCCTTGGGTTCTTCCTGTGAGGTGAGCTCTGTGAATTCTCCAGTTAGCTTAGACAAATGTGCCAGCTGGATGAATGGCGTTGGGTCATAGCCTGGCACCTTGGGAACTGACCTGAGAGGCCACAGGGATTTAGATGACTCAGAGAGACCAGAGCCACCTCTGCGCTGTCCAGAAGTGGAACACTGACCTGGTATGCTCTCTATGTTGAGCATAGAGTGGAAGGTACTAGCGAATGGGAGGGCTGGGGAGGATGGTGGGAGGCAGGGAGATGCCTCTCTAGCACCCTCATCCCTCTTTGGAAAAATCACTTCAAAGTGTGACCTGGGTGGCATTTGGGGGGTAGGGATTCGTGGGCTCTGCCACAGACAAACCAACCATTGAGACTGGAGTCTCAACTCTGTCTCCTACTCACAGTGTGACCTTGGCAAGTACTTGACTTCTCTGGGCTTCTGAAAATGGGAAAACCAGAGCTAAACCAGAGCTATGGGGGCTCATACACAATACACTAGCTCATATGTAGGGCACTGGTAATATCACAGTTAGCTTTTTGGTGTGTGTCAGTACTGGGGCCTAAACTCAGGGCCTCACGCTCTCACTTGGCCTTTTCCCCACCCAAGGATGAATACTTTACAACATAAGCTATATCTCTACTTTCAGCTTCTTTCTGCTTAATTGGATATAAGAGTCCTGGACTTTTCTGCCCAGGCTGGCTTTGAACTGTGATCCTCAAATTTCAGCTTCCTCATAGCTAGGATTATAGGCATGAGGCACCAGCCTTTGGCTCATGGTTACTTAGTAATAGCAAATATTACTCAAGGCCTCTTCTCATGTGCTTCTTTTATTCACTCTTTGATTTGTATTTAATAAGTATTTAATACGTACTTACCAGAGGGAATAGAGCTCAGATTATGGTTTTCCATGATGTTAATGGCGAAAGCCTTTGCTGAGGAGAGAAAATATATAGATAGCAACAGAGGTGGTCTCTCCCATTACAGAATTTAGACTTTTGTGAAAAGTAAGCTGGTGAATAGATAATAAGCAGGAAAGTCTAAGCAATGGAAGATGAAGTTGGCTCGGGGCATTCTATCTACTGTATCTATCTATCTATCTATCTATCTAGTGTGTGTGTGTGTGTGTGTGTGTGTGTGTGTGTGTGTGTGTGTGTGTGCTGGTACTGGAGCTAGGACCTTGGCTTGGGTCTTTCCATAAGGCTGGTAATCTACCACTTGAACTACACTTCCACTTCCAGCTTTTTTGTTTTGTTTCACTTTGCTTTGCTGGTTAATTGGAGATTAGATTCTCACAGACCTGTCTGCTTGGGCTGACTTCCAATCATGATCCTTATATCTCAGCCTTCTGAGTAGACATGAGCCGCTGGAGTCTGGCACTTGAGATGAAACAGCGGGTAACTGATGCTGACACATGAGGACTGGCCACCTTGGGGAAGGACTGAACGAGGTAAGCACAGATATCCAAAGGAAGCTTGGTGTGGAAGGAACTGCAAACTCAGTAGTAGGCTGCAATGAGAAGGGGAGAATGGAGGATGAGGAGATGGGAGTGGCAGGTGCTTTCAGGCTGGTGTTAAGACAGGTTCACTTCTTTCCAAATGCAAGCGCATGCCCCTGGAGACTCCCTCTGAACACCTGACTGAGAATTAAGCTGGAAGAGCCTAGTCATTTCCCAAAAGGGTATCCTATGTCTAGTCCATGCCCCTAACTCTCAGTGTTCACAGCCCCAGAAGGACCTTTGGCGGAGCACAGGCCCTGGGTCTCCTGCAATTCCTGGCAGGGACTAGACTTCTAGGAGCAAATCTGTAAGTGATTGGTCATGAGGCATGCAGAGCTCACCCCAGGCCCCAGACACAAGGAGCCTTTTCTCACCCAGATCCCTGGGTTGAGGCATTCAAAGCCGCAGGTCCCCCAATTTCTGCTGTTTATGATTAAGATTTTTGCTGAGCAGAAAAAAACACAGCTGCCTGTCAGAGGCCCAGTACAGCACTTGCAGGGGAGGAGAAGAGAAGGGATGAGAGAGAGGAGGGGGCTAGCCTAGTTCATAGGGTTCTCTCTACCTATCCTGGCATTCAAAGACCTGTCTCTACCTCAGCTATTCTAAGCAGGAATGATAGATAGTCTGCCATAGATCATCCTCAAATCCACTTCAGAGCCAGAGATTCTTAGGCTGGTAAGAGAGGGGCCGCCCAGCTAGACACTAATAAATAGCAACACCAAGAACTTACTGTGAGTCAAGAGGTATGTCGAGAGCTTAACTAACTTTTCCTAACTACCTTGTGGTGTTGTTACCTGGATTACTGCCATTTAACAAATGTGAATGCCGAAGCTTTAAGAATTTTGATTAAAGCTTTGATTCACTCAGAGCTGGCACTCTACCTTGAGCCACAGTTCCACTTCTGGCTTTTTAGTGGTTTATTGAAGATAACAGTCTCATAGCTTTTCCTGCCTGGGCTGGCTTTGAACAGTGATCCTCAAATGTCAGCCTCCTGAGTAGCTAGGATTACAGATGTGAGACACAGGTGCCTGGCTTTGCTTTCTTCTTCTTCTTCTTTTTATGTAATGGTTCACAAATTTGTTATCAACCTTGCACAGGGACCATGCTAATCTCCTCTGTATCATTTCAATTTTAGTATATATGCTGCTAAAGCAAGTGCTTTATTTACTTATATGAAATTCTTTTTCTCAAAGGAAAGTTCTTGGCTAGAGATATGGCTCAGCACTTGCCACAAGCCAAATTCCCTGAGTTCAAACCCCAGGACTGCCAAAAAAAAAAAAAAACATTTATTGGAGCCAAGCACCAATGACTCACGCCTATAATCTAGCTACTCAGGAGGCTGATAGCCTCAGATCTCAATTTAAAGCCAGTCCAGACAGCAAAGTCCATGAGACTTTATCTCTAATTAGCCACCAAAAAGCCAGAAGTGGAGTTGTGGCTCAACCAGTACAGTGCTAATCTTATGCAAAAAAGCTCAGGAAAATTCTAGGCATTCACACACAGTAAGACCAAAGGTGGATATTCTTAAGGAAGGAATATAAGGTACAATGCTATGTGCCTCTTATCATACAAAATAATACTTATTAAAATGAAGTCCAGGAAATAGAAACCAGCAGCTTTGTTTGTTTTGTTTTGTTTTTGTTCTCTTTTCTTTTTGTCTTGTTTGTTCATTTATGCCTTTGGGAGGTACAGGGGCCACATAAATGGAGGGACAAAGGGTGAACAATGCAGCAGTGGTACTCACTAGACACTATGTTGAAAATAGATATACAACTTATGGGTGGGGACAGGAGGGAAAAAGTGGGAGAGAATAAGGAAGGGGTAACAAAAAGGAATATACTCATTACCTGACTTAAGAAAATGTAACTCCTATATAACTCCACCTTTATAATAACAATTTAAAAATCTTTAAAATGGGGGCTGGGAATGTGGCTTAGTGGTAGAGTGCTTGCCTAGCAGGCATGAAGCCCTGGGTTCCATTCCTCAGTACCACATACACAGAAAAAGCCAGAAGTGGTGTTGTGGTTCAAGTGGTAAAGTGCTAGCATTGAGCAAAAGAAGCTCAGGGACAGTGCCCAGGCCCTGAGTTCAAGCCCCAGGACCAGCAAAAAAAAAATATCTTTAAAAGCTCAGGGACATCACCTAAGCTCTGAGTTTAAGCCCCGGGACTAGCATGCATACACACACACACACACACACACACACACACACACAATATTCATTGGGCTGGTGCTGGTGGCTCATGCCTGTAATCCTAGTCACATAGGAGATTGAGAACTGGAAGACTAAGGTTCAAAGCCAGCCCAGACAGAAAAAAAAAACTCTATCAGCAAAATGCTGGGCTGGAGATGTAACTCAAGTGGTGGTGTGACAGCCATGAGCAAGAAAGCTGAACAAGGGCAAGAGGCCCTGAGTTCAAAGCTCGGAACTATAAAAAAGGTATTATTATAGGGATTGAGGAAATAAAACATATTTATTAGTCAAAGACAAATTTTTACTATTATTAACAAATATCCATATCAAGCAAAGGTAAAAATAAGAGCAATGAGACAAATAGTGGCCAGGCACTGGTGACTTATACCTGTAATCCTAGCTACTCAGGAGCCTGAGATCTGAGGATCACAGTTCAAAGCCAGCCCAGGTAGGAAAGTCCATGAATCTCTCTCCAATTAACCACCAGAAAACTGGAAGTGGTGCTGTGGCTCAAGTGGTAGAGCACTAGCCTTTAGCTGAAGAGCTGAGGGATAGTGTCCAGGCCCAGAGTTCAAGCTCCAAGACCGACCAACGAGAAAGAGAGAGAAAGAGAAAGAGAAAGAGAGAGAGAGAGAGAGAGAGAGAGAGAGAGAGAAATAGTGTTAGAAAAGTGTAGCTAGTTGCTGCTATTGTAGGAAGATTTGAACTGGGACTTGCTGTCAACTGCTGAGAAGGGAGAAGCAGGCACAGGAAAGTGCAGGTGCACAGGAGAGCTCACCTGAGACATGCTCTAAGAGCTGAAATAAGGTTAAAAAGGAAATGGATTTCCACTGTGGTCTTCACTGTTCCTGCAACCTATCTGCATGGGCGTCATCTGTAATGTTCAGCAAACATTCTGGCTCTTTGCCTCCTGGGATCATGGAACATGGCTTCCTCTGGACTTGAGTGGAGCCATGAGACCAGTTTCCAGCCTTTCCTGAATTAGATATTACTTCTGGACTTGAATGTGTAATTCCTGCTGTGACAATGTCCAGCATTCCCCTTCCCAGAGTCTGAGTCCCAGAGTGAGTATAGTGCAGAGGAGAGAGAGGAGGGGGTGGGGGGAGAACCCATGACAATTATGTAACACAAGCGAGGAGCCATGAAAAGATTCAGGATGTTTATTTACTGCAGCATGCCATAGCTATTCCAATCAGTGCAGCATGCCTTCCACAATTGCACTGAAGGTACACCCTCCCCTTTCCACAGCCCACAGTCTTAATTACTGTGCTGTGCAAGACACTTGCCAAGCCAAAACTGGAGCAAAGCCTTTGCCTTCCATGGAGAATGTTCTTCCCTGTTCTCCCCTTGCCCCCAACCCACTACTTCAGAAAACTACCCACTTCTCCAGATGTCCTTGACTCTTACATCTTGCTTCTGTGTTCATTCCTCTCTGCCAGGAATGCCACACACCTCCATCTCTGCCCTGACAGAGTCACGATAGAGAGCTAGGCTTCCTGTGTTTGGATCTGGGCTCTATTATTCACCAGCTCTATTCTCTGGGGCTGGTCTTTATGATCTCTGGGCCTCAGTTTCTTCAGGTATAACATGGAAGCAGTCATGTGACTCTATTCTTCATGGAGCTATGGTGCAGATGCAGTGAAAGCATATAGTGAGATGTTTATACCATTAAGCTACAGCATTATTCCTGTGTGGTGGACCTTGAGTAAGTTTTAGAGCCCTGTCATCACTTTTTTTTTTTTCTCATCCTAGGGTTTGAACTCTATGCCTGGGCACTGTCCCTGAGCTTCTGTTGCTCAAGGTGAGCACTCTACTACTTGAGCCACCATGCCACTTCCAGCCTTTTATTGAGTAATTTATTGGAGATAAGAGTCTCACAGAGTTTCTTGCCCTGGCTGGATTCAAAGTGCAATCCTCAGATTTCAGCCTCCTGAGTAGCTAGGATGACAGGTGTGAGCCACTGGCACCCAGCTCTGTCACCATTTTATGATGCCTTTCCCAGGCACAGAGGAGCCACAGATGCCTATGGGCTCAGCAGCAGAAAAGGCTCTAACTGTTCACAATAGCCAGAATATGGAAACAACCCAGATGTCCCACCACAGACGAATGGATTCAAAAATTGTGGTATCTATACACAATGGAATATTATGCAGCCATTAGAAAGGACAAAATAATGGCATTTGCAGGGAAATGGATAGAGCTAGAAGAAATCATGTTGAGCGAGGTAAGCCAAGTACAAAGAGACAAATGATACATGGTCTCCCTGATAAGTGGATGTTAAATCCAAAATGTTAGGTGATATGACAAAATTAACAGGACTTAAGAAACAAAGAACTTCCACTCATCTAGTCGAACCACTACTAAATAACCCCATGCTGCCGATCACATGTATGGTATATATGTGTACACTGGAGGGGAACCATGAAGACGACACAGAACTAGAGGGAATCAGGGAAAAACGTACAACAGCAAGACCCATTAGCTGCACAGGGCATTGACCAAAATGAACTAAGCAACTTAATAGCAGAGATGGGAAGGAGGGAACAAATGGGAAAGAGGGAATAGCTGATGCTATGCAAAACAAAAAAACTGTACATACCACCCAATGTGGAAGAAATAACTATCGCAAAGCTCACAGAACTCATAAATGTTATAGACCACGATAGACAATTTGCCCCAGGAAAGTTAGAATGTGTTTGTGACTTTAACTGAGCATCACTATCCCATAATACTGTGAAATTTGGGAAATTATGTAACCACTTAATCACAATAAAAAAAAAAAATCAAGAAAAAAAAAAGAAAGGGCTTTAAACTAGACAATTGCTGAGGCCCTACCAGCTTGCATGCTTGCTTGCTTGCTTTCTATATTCTTTCTTTCTTTTTTTCTTTCTTTCTTTCTTCCTTTCTTTTTTCGTTGGTCATGTGGCTTGAACTCTGGGCCTGGGCGCTGTTCCTCAGCTCTTCAGTTCAAGGCTAGCACTCTACTACTTGAGTCACAGCACCACTTCTGGTTTTCTGAGTGGTTAAGTGGAGATAAGAGTCTCATGGAGGAAGTGGCGCTGTAGCTCAAGTGGTAGAGCACTGGCCTTGAGCTGAAGAGCTGAGGGACAGCGCCCAGGCCCAGAGTTCAAGCCCCACAACCTACAAAAAAATAAATAAATAAATAAAATAAATAGCACTTTAAAAAAAAAAAAAAAAAAGAGTCTCATGGACTTTCCTGTTTGGGCTGGCTTTGAACCATGATACTCAGATCTCAGCCTCCTGATTAACTAAGATTATAGGCTGAGCCACCGCATCCAGCAACACCAGCTTTCTTGCCTGGTGATTTTAGCCTGGGGCCCAAAGACTCTCTACATCTGGCTGCAAACCCAAGAACAAGCTCCATGTCAGAAGTTCAGACAAGGTCTAGGTTGCTTCCTCTGCCTCTGACTTGCTCTGGCAATTCCCTCCCCATCTTGGGTTACATCTTCTTTCATTACAACAGGGCCTGGCTGGATGCACACCCTTCCATTTTGACATGGCTTCCTGGGAACAGACCTCAGCCTCCCAGCTTGGCCTTCTCTATCTGTTCAAATGAGGTCCTTCCCTAACTCGCATCCACTAAGACCAGGTCACTGTCCCCTCTCCACATACTAAGGCACTAGATCCTTTCTCTTTGATCTATCTTTTTCTTGCCTACGGACTTCTGGCTTCCTGCCTCCTTCCCAAGGGACTCCTCCCTTCTCCCCCTTTAACATATATAGGATCAGCTCCGGAGCCTCTTCCTGATCTCCACTCCAGCTAGATCCTGTGGACTCATTCCAGAAGCATCCTCTAGCTCCACACACTCCACCTTCTTTCCTTTTGCTTTCTTCTGAGGTTCAACAGAGCTCTTTTTTTCTTTTCATAGGGGGTTGGTGCCAATATTGGGGCTTGAACTCAGGGCCTTATACCTCTTCCTTGGTTGTTTTGCTCAAGGCTGG